AAGAAGACCACATGGGTTGGCAGCAAAAGGCAGCCACAATTGATCACCTTTGATTCCATGTGAAGAAAGCTTGAGGTGCAGCAAAAGAAGTATGGGATGGGATTGATTCCAACCACACTAACATAGACAAGGTGAAGTGTGAGTTATGGGTTGTATTAAAAGAGGAATTGTGGTGTTGGATTTCATCATGTTGTTCCTCCCTCTTAGCCCTATAAATAGAGAAGCCTTCAAGCTTCAAAACACACCACAAGGGGGGGGAGCTCTCGAACACTTCTCTAGAGCTCCCTTCCCTTCTCTCCCTCAAGTTCTCTTAGTTTCATTTTCTAGTTTTCAATTGTTATAATGAGATCTTTGTGCTGAAATTTTCCTTTAAGTTTTTCTTAGTTCCACTTTACTTTTCATTATGTAAATTTTTTTCTTTAGTTTTTCAAGTTTGATTAGTTTCCAAGTTTCAATTATGGTTTTTGTTTTTTTTCATTATGCTTATAAGTTAATATGCTAGTTTGAATGATTGATCACCATTTTGGTTTGAATTAAGAGTATACACCATGCTTTAATTCGAATTGAACTATGAATAAGAAGAGTATGTATGGACATTCGACAACAGGGATTAGATACATGCTTGGTTGTTTAAATTGTTCTTCTATGCTTAATGGGTTTCTAATGCTTAATTTTAGGTTAGACAACAAATGATCAAATTAGGGAATTAGGAACACAAGGTTATGACCACACACCATGGCTTAATCATACTTTAGCTAGAATCAATCCATTAATCTAAATTGAACTTGGGAACTTATTTGCTTGAGTTACTTATTTCTTTCTTCCTTGTTTTATGTTCTTTGTTTTTGTTTCTATTTTGTGTAGGGAAACTAAATTGGATCATTCAATCACCAATCCCTGTGGAATCGACCTCGCACTTACATATGCTATACTACCAACGGTTCGTGCACTTGCGAGTATCACAAGTTGAGGATGCAGCTTAATCCATTTTGGTGGAGCTAAATCTACGCAACAATTCCATGGGCTAGATAATTGATTTCGATGCAACTGATCATATGACGTTTGATCTTGATGATTTTATGAATACTACCAAGCCCAGACAAACTTGTATTACTAATGCCAATGGTGTTACTTATCCAGTGACAGGGGCTGGCACTGTTGCTCTCTCATCCTTTCTCTCATTGTCTAATACTTTACTTGTTCCTTCTCTATCCAATATATTGATGTCAATTAGTCAGATTACTGAACAATTGAATTGTTGTGTTCTAATTTACTTGAGTTTTTGTTTGATTCAGGATATTCACACTAAGGAGATTCTTAGTCGTGGTACTAAGAGATGAGGGCTCTATTATGTGGATGACTTCAATCCTGACATGGCTAACAATGTGATGCATCCCTCTGATAGCAAATAAAAGCAATTCTAGTTGTGGCACCGTCGATTGGGACATATGTCTTTTAGTTTTATGAAGCATCTTCTACCGGATTTATTCTTAGGTTTTAAGGACTCTAACTTCAAATGTGATACTTGTATTTTGGCCAAGAGTCACCATGTGCCCTATCTGTTGAGTTTGAGCAAGGGTACTACTTCGTTTACGTTAATTCACTTTGATGTGTGGAGACCTTCACCTATCACTACTCCTTCTGGCATTCGATGGATTGTCACATTCGTTGATGATTGTACACAATTGACATTATACTTTATTTGCTCAAGAATAAAAATGAAGTGTTTTCACAGTTTCAGTTCTTCCACAAACAGATAAAAACTCAATTCAATGTTCAAATACAAATTCGTCACTTAGACAAAGGTGGAGAATTTGTCAATCATGACTTTCAAGCTTACTTCTAATATATTGGAATTATCCATGAGACGACATGTCTTCAGACACCACAACAAAATGGTGTTACTTAACGGAAGAATTGACATCTTCTTGAAACAGCCCGAGCAGTTTTGATTAGCACTCATGTTCCTCGCCATCACTCGGATGATGCTATCGTCACCGTAATTCACCTGATCGATCGCATGCCTTCTGGTGTATTGAACTTTAAAACTTTCTTACAAGTGCTCGTACAACACGAGCCCCTGCCCTTTCTTTTGGTTCTCATACCTTGAATCTTTGGATGTGTGGCCTTTATTCACCTCCAAAAAAACAACTTAGCAAGCTTGATCCCTGTGCACTTCGTTGTGTTTTTGTGGAATATGCCACTCATTAGAAAGGTTGTCAGTGTTATCACCCTCCAACTTGTAGAACTTATGTCACTTTGGATGCGACCTTTCTGGAAT